TTAATGTTCGAGTATCGCAAGAAATTGACATGACAATAGAAATTCATTAAAGACTGCCACTCCCATGCAATTAACAGCGAGTGAAATTCCTGGGATTGAAACATATATTTTGAAGTCACTGGTGTAGGCAACGAATAACTGCAAGTTGACATAAAGACGAGGTAGTTTATTTAATCAGTGGTCAACTAGAGGCTGAAATTATAATTAATTTGTTTATTTCAATTTCTCCTGACGTCAAATAGAATACACTGGTGAAACACGGTAGTAACTGTGGGTGAAAGGATGTTTTGGGGTGTAGTTTACATTGTATATGGAGTGGTAGGGTCGGGTGTAATGTGTTCATTTCCAACTATTATGAAGTCACGTAGAATTTCACTTAATTTATTTTTTCTGACATGTTTTCAAGCATTACATGTGAATCCAATTTTCACTGCGCCGTGTCTCAATATAGTATGAGGGAAATGGCATATTCACTGGAATTTATTTCAGGGGAAAAATGTTTTCAGTGATAATGAAGTATTATGACAGATACCCTCCCCGTGGCTTTCATTGCGTATGGAAGTTATTTTCAAGAGTGGTGCGGTGTATCCTGCTGCCGTACTTTCACGAGCGAAGCCACGGGGAGGGTGTGGGGTTCTGTTATTATACACATGTCCCATATTTGATTATTTCATATTAAAAAAAGAACGTGCAACAAACCGGGATAGAAATTTAGATCGGGGAACCCAATTGCCCATTAATATGCTCCAAGACAGTGCTGCGACCTAGCAACGCTTGTCAGTGTAGAACGCGTGTCGCTGTACGTGTGAAAATAAAATAATCAGACGTCTAATTTAAGTCATTGTCCGAATAAATAACTCGTGGATGTTTAAGCGCGGCGGTCGTAGCACAACGCGTGTTCGAATTTCATGTAAATAAACAATGCATTTTACACGCGTTGTATACGTCCCATATCGAACAGGACGCGACACGACGACTGTCGCCCTTTAGTTGGGACCACGACAGAACCAGAGCTTAAACTGGGCGACTACGATACACGGTTGATGTTGAAGTTAAAAGTTCCTCCACAGATCTGTGCATTGGCAAACATGCCGTGCAACTGCGGTACTCCACTGACGGAATGACTTTCGTTGAAATCGGTCGTCGCTGACTCGTGAGCTGCACACTACAACCTCGTTTGTGATGTTGCTTGCTTGTCGTGGATAAACAAGAGTCTTGGTTACCGGTTAAATTTTGCTAATTTGGCGTTGGTAATCTTTATTTGGAACTGAGTAACGCCGCAACGTCGCCAGCAGAAACCTCATGGTATATCGATGTTGATGGTTGCGGCTCCATATTAATCGGAGATTTTACTGCGGGTCCAGGCAGCGGGTGGATCTTCCGAGAGCCCTTCAAGAT